CGTGGTGAGGAAGCTCTTTGATTTGCTGCGGGGTGGCCCAGGGCCGCGGGCAGCTACTGAGGAGCAGCTGACGCGCTGTCCGTGCACGTTCGCTTGGCTCAAAGTACCTTGGTTGTGCGCCAGGTATTTGTTTGGAAAAGAGGGGCAGGCATGTTGCTTGTGTGCTTGTCTCGGGACTGCCACGCTGAGCTTCTACCACAGGCAAGTGCAGCAGGAAACTCTAGAATTTGTAACGACGTTTCTAGTTGGTCTCAGTCTAGCCATTATGAAATGTGACTTGATGTTTGGGATTTGCCTCAGGCTTCAAGTTTACCAGCAGCTGCGGGAAGAATTAGCCAAAGTGAAGACTCTGGAGGGCATTGTGGATGTCAACAGGGAGCTGAAACTGCGATGCCAGGTACCAGGATGGGCCCCGTCTCCCAGAACAACGCTGTCCGCACTGGGTGGGGGAGCTTCCCGTGTCTGGCAGTCACCCCTGGGAACTCGGTGGCTTCCCACCCTTGCTGGGGGTAGCTCGCTCCCGCAGCAGCCCCGCAAGCCGCTGCAGCCTTGCAGGGGGCAAAGGCGGTTCAGGAGGGGCTGATCCGCTTCGGTTCTTCTCCCTCTGTAGCTTCTGCCTGTGTTTACCTCTCGGTGACTGTTAGTTTACCTTCCAGTTTGGGGTTGCCTGGAATTGAACGATTACCTGGAGCGTTCCCTGGGAACTCCAGGGGACTGACTGTACGTCTGTGTGCAGGAGGAAATCGCGAAGCAGAAGGAGGGAGAAAAGCCAGGAGAAGGGTTGCCTTTTTTCCACTGGATCTGCCAGCCGTACATCAGGCCGGGGTGAGTTACCAACCCTGGCCCAGGCAGGTACCCCCTGGCCCTTCCCGCTGCACAGAGCCATCCTGGGCCCTTCCAGGAGTTACGTGCTGTCTTGGAAACAGGTGAAGGCCTTGGATTATTTTTATTCCGGTTGGTTCTTCCCTGGTTATTGCTTTGTTCCTGGGGATGTTGCTGGTCGAAGGCAGCTTCTCCTTTAGAGCCGCCTCACATTTCTCTCTCTGGGAAGTAAATCCCAAGAGTTCTCAGAGGAGGAACCTGGGGTGTGTGACACGGGTGTCGCTGGGGACTGCCAGGGCAGCAACGGGGGCGCCGTATCCCATAGAGGACCCTGGTGTTGCACAGACAAGCTTTTCCCTTTCTGTTGTGAAAATTGGGCTGAAGAAGGGCACGAGCCTGTCGGGATGAATAATTAAGTAAATACTTGGATAGAGCCCGGGAATACCTGGGAATGCCAGGTTAGCAGGCGCCTGGCTGAGCCAACTGGGCCACTGACTGACTTCCCAGCGACGTGTCTGACAGCGTCTGCTGTCGGCAGCGGGTGGGAACAGAGACGGCAGGGGCTTCTAGTCCTCGGGGGGGGCACTGCCTCATGCTGTAGCCGTGACAGAAGGGTTTATGGTTTACCCAGCGCCCTTCTTCCCTTCGGCCAGCCTGTGAGGGTATTCCCTGTTTCAGGCCAAAGGAGAGATGCAAGGAGAACGGAGCCGGGGGGACTGAAAAGGGTGTGCGAGGGAAACGCGCGCTGGAAGAGGAGGAAGATGGGAGTTCTGAGCTTCTGTCAAAGAATAAGCAAAAAAAGAAGTTAAGAAACCCAAATAAGACCTTCGATCCCTCTTTAAAGCGTAAGTTCCCCGTAGGGCGCAGAGGGGCGACGGCTGCTGACACGTGGCCTGAACCGCCGTGTCGCTTCCCTCGTTCGTGTGGGTGAGGGACTTCCGCAGGAAGGGGGGCTCCCGGGAAGCTCCGGCCTGATCCAGGTTACGGTCCTTAGCCAAGCAAGGATCAGAGAAGGCCTCACGCCTTACAGGCTGCCGTGAGTGTTGGAAAAGGCAGCCTCGTCCGTGCCGCAGGGGCATCTCCTCCTTTACCCCGGAGGAGTAAGATTTCCCGCGTTTGGATTTAGTGCAGAGGCACTTAACGAGTCCAAGTCTTTACGTCTGCCCTGGTCTTTGAGGTGCAGAACGAGTCTCTGGCTAGAAAAGCACCAAGCTTCATCAGATCCTGCTCCTTCTTCCATATAAAATCCCACTGTTGACGTCGGGTCTCTCTCCCCCCACCCCTCTCTCTCTTCCAGCCAAATATGCAAAATGTGACCAGTGTGGGAACCCCAAGGTACGTCAGAGCCGGTGCCGTTGAAGGGATGCTGCGGCGGTCCCCGGCTCCGTGTCGGGATGGGGA